TTTGCAGCCACTTTTGAAAGAGACAGAAATTGTTATTGAATATGTTAATGCTGTAATGAAATGCTACTTCTAATCATGTGGTTATTAAATAAGTAATTTTTTAAAAATTTTAAAAAAGAATTAATCCAGCATTTCTGCAGACTCTGAAGGCTGAGTGAAACAAACGTACAGATGGATTGAATCCGGGCTATAGAGAAGAGGAAACAAGAATGACTAAGTCTCAGGCACCAAACCACTAGATGTGCAGCATTAAAGAAACGCTTAAGAAAAGCAGCCTTAGGGTGTCTCATCACAGTGAAGGTACCTTTGCTTTCCTGAGGATCTGGTCTCTAAGGGTCAAAGAAAAGTACTAGAAGCACACAGACCTGTAACTTGCTGTACAAGTGACAGAGTACAGCAGGTAATGGGCTACAGCCGCACTAGAGTGATTCAAACAACTCAGTAAGAATATCCAGCTTTTAGCCTGTGATTCTTTGGTTCTGCTGTGCAAAATTTATTATTTCTCCCTTCCAACTACAATATGGATTCTTGTAGGTCAGATAATCTTTGACGTCTCTGTACCCCTGAGTGCAGCAGGAGCTCAAGCGATGTTCGACAGTGATAAGCAATGATGAACCTCCAAGCTGCAGATAAAACAGTGATAACTACCAGAGGGTAAAGGCAGTCACCGCCAAGACTCATGACCAAGTTCCATTCTCAGAAGCCCATGGAGGAAGAACAGAACCAACAATGCCTAGAAGTTTCCTCTGACCTCCACATGTCTTGTGGTACATGTGTATTCGTGTGTAGGCATGTTCACAGGTATGCATGCACACACACACACACACACACACACACACACACAGGCATACACACAAGATAAATAAATGTTAAAAAAAAAAAAAAGATAAAAAATTTCTAGAGTTGGTCACTGACGGAGTCAAGAATAGTAATTCCCACCGATACCCGGTGGGTGCCAAGTGGTGAGCTTGCAGGTCCTCCTGCTGGTGGTGAGCTCTGCTCATGTAAATACTGGGCGTTTGTTTATCTTCTCTGCCTGAGGTTCTTTACCTAGTTTTGACAATTGCGCTTTTATTTTTCGTTGTTTAGTAAAAATCTTTGGAAACCTGATTTTTGTGAGAAATCTGAATTCAGCAGCAGTAGTACCAATGAAAATTGTTTATTTACTATTTTTCTACCAAACAATTTAAAGAACTCTCAAATAACTACTCACAGACAACTATGACATGAACTATAATAAGATATTTTATAAGAAAACTTGAGATGAGCTTACCTGTAGTCCTGGTTATTAACTAACAGTTCAAGGTTTTGGGCTGATGAAAAATCTATCATAGCTGTCTGTTCGCTACCCTGGAAGCAAACCTTCAGCGATTTTGGTGCATAAACTGTATTTTGAATAAATTCAACATATTTTAACAAAGCTGCAACAGCTGCAAGGCAGTAATACCTGTAAGTGACCAATGATACAGCACTGTGTCTTCAGAATAAAACCATTTGCTGCCCCAGAAAGAAGCATTTACTTCACCTTAACATTAGGAAAATTACCAACATTTGGACAGTTCTGCTTAAATTCACAGGAAAAAAGTTATGAGCATGCTTAATTTTTGGAAACTAACCTCTAAATTCATAAAATTGTTTTAAAATGTACAATTTGTGTTTGTATGTTTCTGAAACCACCCTACTCTAATCCAGGCTGGCCTGGAACTCACTGAAATCTTTGAGTATCAGCTTTCCAAGTGCTGAGATTATAGGTGTAAGCTACCACATTCAGCTATAAAAGGTAAATTTTAAAGTTATCACTTAAAGGACAGTATATGTTAACAAATCACTTGTTAGAGGATAACATTCAGTAGTAACCTGTCAATTCCTGCCATACCATTCTAAACATTCAAGGAATGTTGAAAGAGCCTGAGACAGGGAAAGTTAGGTGGCCTCAGTATAGGGGAAGGTATGTTACAGTCTATGAGAAGAGCCATTGGACTAACTGAATAAACAGAGCAAAAGAGTTCAAAGAAAGCATACATTGTGAAATGGCACAACTAACTCCACTTTGTTCTAGCTGACATGTGCTTTTCCCTGGGTTTTTGCCCAGCTATTCCCACTGTAGCCAGCCAGGCAGAACATCTTATGCAGATAGTTTCAGGGAATACACTGTTTTCACAATACTGGGAAATGTACAAGTAGCCAGGCAGCATGTCCAGATAGCACATCCTCCACCCCAGCTACACCTGTGTCTTCATGGAGCCTATTGCTTCTGTATTCTGAGAAACTTTGTTTTTTCCTAACTGATACTTTTTGTTACTGAAAACCTCTTTGTTAACTGACCTGCCCCTGGTCTGGTGTAACTATGGTAATCTGATGTAACTATGGTTATTGGTTTTGCTCTGACATGATGGAATTGTGGTTTTAAGCTTTATAAACCCTGCCCTACTTCTCCTTAGAGTCCAGAGTTCTTTGTGGCACTAGCCCCTTCTCTGGCCACCGCCTATTAATAAATGACTCCTAGTTCCACCATTACTATGTCCCATCCCTCTGTGCCTCTCGAAATGTATTGCACATTTAGCATCTTCTAAAAAAGTATCTTGTTTCAACAATAACTTCTCTGTCACTTGCTCAATCTGTTTATACTAAAGGTAACACCATTAACTTTGTCTCATTCTTTCTTTTTTTCCTTTTTTAATAGTTAATTAGCTGGTGTGGAACTCAATATGTAGACCATGCTAGCCTTGATCTCACAGAAATCTGCCTCCCAAGTGTTAGGATTAAAGGCGTGGGCCACTACACCCAGCAATTAATCAATTTTTGAATTAGTATCTCATGTATCCCAGGCTGGTCTTAACTCTGTATGTAGCTGAGGATGGTCTTGAACTTATCATGTGCCACCACATCTACCTTAAAAGTTTTGTTTTGGTTTTTGTTTTTTTGAGACAACAGTCGTATTATATAATCCTGCCTGACTAGGTGAGCACTCATATATAGGTCTGGCTGACGTCTAACGCACAGCAATCCACCTGCTTCAGCCTCCCAAGTGCTAGGATCACAGCCATATGCCACCATACCTGCCCAACTGTGTCTCTCGGAGACTTCACATTTCTAGTATCCTATAGATAACTGAGATTTTTTTATTATAAAATACAGTGAGCAATAAGTATTAGAGCAATAGAAAAATTTATTTGGAGAAATTCTATATAAACTAACAATGTATGCCTACTGTATAAATTCCAGCTAATTTCTTAAAATATGTGAGTGCACCTGTGCAAGTGCAATGCCTCGGAGGTCAGAAGAGGGCATCGGATTCACCTGGAACTAGAGTTAAGGACGGTTCGTAACCACCATGTGGGTGCTGGGAATCGAACCCGGGTCCTCTGCAAGAGCAGTCAGTGCTCTTAACCGCTGAGCCATCTCTCCAGCCCCTATTTTACTATTTCAATAATTACTAGGTATATATTATGATCCAGGCACCTTTCTAGATGGTAGGAAAACAGCAAAGAACAGGACAGACAAACATCCTGCCCTTGAGGAACTCACTTTGGAGAACTGTCATAACTCACCTGGACTGAACCTCCATTAGGACAGTGCTGAATTCCGCTGTGCACAGCTGCTCGATGTACTCTAGTCCTTTCATTTCATTGAAGTATTTCCTTTGGACAGTAGTGAAATTAACATTCTGAAAAGGTTTTAATTTCAAAATCAATTATTAAATAGCATGCTATAGTTCAATAATGCTTTCTTTTCTGAATACAGTGACTCACAGTTGTACTCCCAGCACTAGAGAAGCTGGAGTGGGAGGAGTGCCAGGAATTCAAGTGAGACCCTGTCTAAAAAACAGAAACCATCTGGGTTGGAGGGATGGCTCAGTGCTTAAGAACACTGACTGTTCTTGCCGAAGACCCAGGTTTGAATCCCAGCACCCACATGGCTACTAATAACTGTCTGTAACTCCAGTTCTAGGGGATCCAACAGTCTCTTCTGTCCTCTGTGGGCATTGCACAACACGGGTGCACTTACTTACATGCAGGCAATACATGCATACACATAAAATAAAAATAATAAGATGAAAATTAAAAAACAAAAACAGGCTGGGCGTGGTGGTGCACGCCTTTAATCCCAGCACTCGGGAGGCAGAGGCAGGTGGATCTCTGTGAGTTCAAGGCCAGCCTGGTCTAGTGAGTTCCAGGACAGCTGGGGCTACAGGGAGAGTCTGTCTCAAAAAAAGACCAAAAAAAAACCAAACACCATCACAAAAGCAACTCTGCTTTCCTAAACACTTACTAGTACATGAGGAAGTGTCTTAAATATTGTATAAAGTTGTTTTTACTGTTTTCAGTATTTATTTTTTAAAAATATTTTATTATTTTTATTTTATGTGTATGAGTGTATTGTTTGCATGTGTGTAAGTGCACCCATGTTGTGAAATGCCTGCTGAGGTCAGAAGAGGGCACTGGAGTCCTGAGTCTAAACTGAGTCTAGAACTCAAGTTACAGGTGGTTGTTAGCCACCATGTGTGTGCTGGGAATTGAACCTGGATCCTCTGCAAGAACAGCCAGTGCTCTTAACTGCTAAGTTATCCCAGTCCCGTTTTCAGTATTTAAAATTTTATTTATGTAATGAAAATGGTTATCCATCTTACTATGTGAACCATAGTACAATATACAGCTCTCAATTAGACATTACTCTCATCAACTTAACTGAATGTTAAGAACAATAATAAAGAATAAATAGAGTCTCTGCTTTCTAGTAATCTTACTCCATAGCCACATCACAGGGACACTAAGTCCTCTACAAGCTCAAGTAAGTGAGATGCTTGGTGAGACCAAGCCCACTTACCAAATCTATGAAACAGGACTTACATGAGGTGGATTTATTTAAAGAGTAAGAGGTAGTGACTCTTGTCCTTTTTTCGTTTGAGTGTTGAGGCAGGACATTGCTATTTATTCAGTGTAGGGTGGCCTGGGCAGTGCATCCAGTGATAGTGGGACTCTTTATTTAGAGAGATAGAGAAAATGAGCATAAAGTTGTAAGGCTGAAAGTTTATGTCCTTTGAAAAGAAGTAATGGATAAAACCCGGTATGGTGGTATATCCCTGTAATCCCAGACTGTAGATGAGGGTAAGAGAACCAGGAGTTCAAGGTCAGCCTAACCTACACAGCAAGTTCCAGGCCAGCCCAAGTTGTAGAAAGGTAATAAAACAATGGACTGTGAAAAGTTTGTTCTGTCAAAACTAAAAAGAATCTTTTTTATTAATTTCATCTTTTACTGAATTTTGCAATTTCTATACAATTATTTTGATGGTATTTAGATCCCCTCCACTCTCTTCCCACTGCCCCTGCTCAATTTAATGTGCTGTGTTACATATATATGAGCTATAGTCTGATTTGTGTCCCCAAATGTCCTTCAGTATGGGTCCATCCACTTGGGCCCACCAAGATTCCCATCGCTGAAAGATACTGTCTCCCCCTCTCCCAGCAGCCATTAATGCCAAAAGTTCCTTAGGTTGAACTGGGATTTCTTACCCACCTCCTCATATCTATACTGGGGATTTTGTCTGGTTTGAGCTTTAGAGACTAAAAAAGTAATCTCAAGCAGATGGGGAGTGTGTCCACCAAGACTGCATTAAAAGTACCTCCTTCCATCTTCACAACGCCCCGTGACGCAAGCCTTTCATTCCAGCTTTCTGTGTGTTCTGCAAAGTCATGTAACTTCTCCTATCACCCAGTTCAGAGTTAGATTTCATTCTGAAGTCCATGTTCCTTCCACTGTAACACTTCTGACTTAATGAAGGCCTTTTTATGGTAAATGGGGTAATAATAGCAACAATAATACACTGATTTCTCCCTCTTGCAATACTTTTGCCCAAAATATTTTCATGGCTTGCTCCTTCACTCCATTCAGGACTTTGTCAAAATATAACCTCATCACTGATACTACCTCTGATTAACTCATAAAATTATCAATTCATATACTGATGAAAAAATACTGAGGCTTCCAGGCATGGTGATGCACACCTTTAATCCCAGCAGAAGCAAGCAGATTTCTGTGAATCAAGACCAGCCTAATCTACCTAACAAGTTCCAGGCCAACTGGGGCTACAGGAAGACCTCATCTCAAAAAAAAAAAAAAACCAACCTAAAACAAACAAACCAAAAAAAAAGCTCACAGAAGTCAACTAAATTAACTTGTCCAAAGGATTCTAAGCCTAAGCCTTGAAAGCAGGGCAGTCTGTCTCCTCCGTTCTTGAACATCACCTCTAACGTGCCGGATATATGTTGTTCTTTCTGCCTTTGGAGGATTTATTACAGCTACCTCATATTCCACATGATTGTGGTAAGCCTGTCAGTTACAGTATGCTGCCCACAGCAAAAAGCACAAGACCCACAACTACATGGTCCCAGTGACTGGTTACTCTGACATGTGCAATGAACAAGGCAGAGCCAGCCAGCAATCTTCCCTGGAATTCATCTATTTTCTTTTGTGTGGCTAAGTGAGATGATGACGTCAATCTAAAGCCATCAGCAGTCACGATTGAACTGGCTCAGCAAACTTCCCTAAGTTACTCCAAATATTTTGTTCAGAGCCATTTCAGCAGCAACTTTGCTCCACACCAAAAGGAAAAGAGGGGCAACCTTGGGTCTTAGGAAATTGCCCTAGCCATGAATCATGGAATGTGCTAATTCCAGACATTCTACATCTGACTAACCAGCTTGTTTTTGCTTCTGTAATCCGCTTGCTATCTTGGGTCATCTTGACACAGGGCATAAGACCACCCTTGTTATCTTGTTATTGTATGACCACCTAGAAGTCATTTACCTTGGCTGTCTTATTATACTTATTATGGCTAAAACAGCTGGCTAGTTTTAAGGTCACAAAGTTGATTGGCAAGTTATATGACTATATCACTTGTCTGTAAAATGACTGGCTGTTGATTAACAGAGTCAAAATTCTGCTATGTTGTACAAACCTGATTGGTTCACAAGTGTCCATTTTTAATAATAACTCTGTAATCCTATAAAAACTCTGACCTGACAATCATCAGGGCTGCTTCTACTCCCAAGATAGACAGCCCGGCCGGTCGAAAATTAAAATTTACCTTGCTACTTTTCTTAAAGGGGTGTTGGTGATTTTTTTTATGAACTCTGTCCTATAACAATGATGACTCACAGAAGTCATCTGTCCATTGTAGAAGAGAGATGACTGGGGAAGAAGAAAGTGGCAGAGCCTCTTTTACGGGATTCTAGCCAGGTCCCTCTGAGCTCTCCTCTCAAGCAGGCCTCATCCTTCACCAAGAAAGGCTTGACCTAAACAAGAGCATCTGTAGAATGACATTAGCAGTTCTTAAAGTGACTGCCTAAGGAAACATAAGACTACCCCCAAATTCACTATTTCAGTCCCCATCTGACAACAGAGGCCTGGTTTCCCATTCTCTGTGCGAACGCAGGAGTCTAACTTCCACAGCAGCAACTAGCAGACTAAGATGGTTTTACATGAACCAAGCATCCTCTCTTGCTTTCTCTAAGTTTTTTTTATCTATTTATTTATCTATTTATTTATTTTGGTCTTTTTGAGACAGGGTCTGCCGGTAGCCCCAGCTGCCCTGGAACTCACTATGTAGACCAGGCTGGCCTTGAATTCAGAGAGATCCGCCTGCCTCTGCTGGGATTAAAGGCGTGCACCACCACGCCCAGCTATTTTATTTTAATTTTATGTGTGTGAGTGCTTTGCCTGAATGTATGTAAGTGTACCTGAGCATGCAATGCCCAGAGACCAGAAAAGGGTGTCCGATTCCCCTGGAACTGGAGTTACAGGCTATTGTTAGCCACCATGTAGATGCTGGAACAAAACTCTGGTCCTCTGCAAGGGTAGCCAAGTGCTCTTAAGCACTGAGCATCCCTCTAGCCCCTTCTCCGTTTTGGTTTTTTTTTTTTTTTTTTTATGAGACAGGGTCTCCCTGTAGTCCCAGCTGGCCTGGAACTATGTAGACCAGGCTGGCCTTGAACTCACAGAGATCTGCCTGCCTCTGCCCGCACCCGGCTTCTTTCTCTAAGTTTTTACTTCCTTGATTCTCTTGAGCCCACGCTCACTCCCTTCCCTAGGTCCATCATGTTCCATTTAAAATGCTCAGTCAGCTCGGCACAAAGGGAACTGGGTTCAGTTCACATGGGGCTCTTTTTCCTGATTTAATTGTCTATTACTGATTGAAAGAATGTCCTTACAACATGAACTAGCTGGCTTTATCTTTGACAACATGGGTAGGATTTATCCAACCACTGACTTCCACTGTTATGCAAGCCAATAAAGGTTCATTTTATCTTAAACTAGTTTAAGTTGGATTTCTGCTATTTATAGCCAAGACACAGTAGACCTAATTATAACAACACCAAAGCTCAAAGGGAAGGAATACAAAAATAAGGATGAGGAGAAGAACGGAGCAGTGACTAGGAGGGAAATGAGCCTGTCACAGAAGTCTGAGTAGATTAAGGAGGTCATTTTCTGTCAGGAAGTCATCAGTGAGCTCTGTGGGCACTGTAAGAGTACCGCAGAGATCTGTGTGACTGCAGATGCAGCTTTTGTTAAGAACAAGAGAAGGGGCTGGAGAGGTGGCTCAGCGGTTCAGAGCACTGGCTGCTCCTGCAGAGGACCCAGGTTTGGTTCCCAACACCTACATGGCAGCTAACAGCCATCTGTAACTCCAGTTCCAGGGGATCTGATGCTCTCTTCTGACCTCTGCAGCCACTGCACAACACGGGTACACTTACATACATGCAGGCAATGCACTCACACACATAAAATCTTTTTTAAAAAAGAACAAGAGGAGGGAGCTAGAGAGGCAGCTCAGGGATTAAGAGCACTTGCTGTTCTTCCAGAGGACCTGGGTTCGAGTCCAAGTACCTACATGGCAGCTCTGTGTCCCCTTCTGGCCTTTGAGGGTACTATACACATACCAGTAAACATACCAGAAATCAAAACACTTGTACAAATAGAAATTTTTAAAAATGAAAGAGGAAAACACATGAAATTCTAAGCCTCAATTTGATTCCAAATGTGTTTAAGTCTATAAATATAACAAATATTATACATTTTGAAAATAACTTGTACTTCTTAGAAATTATTCCAATTGCAATGCTGTCTGCTAGAACCACAACTACCATTCTAGAAAACAGATGAGCTATAGGAAAGAGGCAATCCACGTGGTTAAAGACCCTGATGGGTCCTCAACGAAGTCCTGTTAGTCCCACAGAGGGAGGCTGGAGGGGCAGGCTGCCTGTGAAGCAGCATGTGCTGTCTGTTGAATCAATTCCCTAACACAGATTAAATCACCTGAGGGAAAAGTACTTCAGTAGTTACTAGCCCCTAAAATGGCAAGAACATCAGTTTTAACTAGCCTGACAGCACAAAACCAGCTCCTAGGAAACAGAGCTCACTCTAAGGGTCTGCCCTTGTATACTCTCAGAAACCTCCTGTGGTCAGTTTAAATATCAATTTGCCATAACTTGGAATCACCTGGGAAGAGTCTCCAGCGAGGAACTGTCTATCGGGTTGGTCTGTGGGCATGTCTGTGAGGGACTGTCTTGTTAACTGATAAGGATGACCCAGCCCATGGTGGCTGACACTATTCCCTAGGCAGAGAGTCCTGAACTATACAGATGAAAACAAGCAGGCAGGAGGCGTGGTGCCTTCACTGCTCTCTGCTCTTGACTGTGGATATGCTGTGACAAGCTGCAGAGTTCGCTGCAGTGATGGACTGGAACCCAGAACTGCAGGCTGACAATGGTATCCTCCTCTACGTTGCTTTATCAGGATCTTTTATCACAGCAAAGGAAAAAACTAGAACTACTACCTAACATACTCTTTTGTTTGCTTAAAGTGGATCATGGTGCCAAGTCAAGTAAGTGGATCCTCAGCCACTTTTCTGATGCTTCGGTGGTTCTCTGTAGTAGAATCTGCACTGACTGACTACTTCAGGATTCTAATGATACAACTACTCAAACTACTGCTTTTTATATTAGGAAATGGATTCTAAATACATTTTGGATATTACAAGTGAGAATGAAAATCCTTTACCTTGAAATGCTCTGTGATCAAAGTAAACAACTTGGTTGAATTCCCAGTAACACAAGCAGTATTTGACATTATTATTTCCAAAGGTGATAAAATTTTAAGTTTAGTGATCACCTGAAATTATTAGAATAATCATTTTTAAATATAAGCACAGGACAATCTCAAAAATTTCATATTAGTCTAAGAAGTAAATTCTTAAAATTTACAGATAAAATCCAAACAGTCCTAATTAAGTGTTTTAATTAAAACGTACTTCAGAGGCCAGAGAGAGATGGCTTAGCAGTTAAGTGCACTGGCCGCTCTTGCAGAGGACCTGGGTTCAGTTCCCAGCACCCACATGGTGGCTAACAACTATACTTAACTCCAGTTGCAGGAGATTCAACAGTCTCTGCAGGCATTTCATGAAATGGGTGCATGTACATACATGCAGGTAAAACACTCAAACACATAAAATAAATAATATTTTAAAAACAAAATAGAAAAACACAAAACCCTTTCTATGTGTTTTTACAAAATCCTGTAGATCTACAACCATTTCAAATTTGAAAAAAAAAAGTTGCTTACTTGCTTACCTTTGCATACGTTGTGTTGTCTGCAAATTGGGACAGTATGATCTGTGGGCTTTTTACATCGATGCTTGCCATTCCGATCTCACCTCTAGCCAGTCCTCTCCCTTCTACCACTGCTACAACAACCGATGGGGCATGTGTAGATGTGGCAGAGGATGATGTAGCTGTCAATGATGTCAAATAAACATACATGAGCATTAGTAACTGTTTATAATTCCTTCACATAGGCCCTCAAAGCCCCACAGCCAGTTACTGTATAACAGCTTTCATTTATTCTTTGGTAATTTTGTGCATGTACAGTGTACATTTAGGCACAGTGTATATGTACCCCACCCACCCAACTCCCTGTTTCTACTCTATTTTCCTACTGAGTCCAATCAGCGCTGCCTGTTGGAATGTTAACTGATCTTGTTGGGTTGGCCATGCGCAGGTTTTATGCATGTGCCAAGGCTAGTTATTATTTTAATAATATCCAAGGAGGGAAGCTTTTTTCTTGTCAAAATAACTTCACAACCAAAACAAAATGTTAAACTTCAAAGTATTTTGTCAAAACTTAACATTTAGGATTTGTGTTTGTTTGTTTTGATTTGATTTTAAGACAGGCTACCCTAGAACTCTCTAAGTAAATCAGGTTGGCCTTGAACTTGTGGAAATCCTCCTGCCCCCATCTCCTAAGTGCTGGGATTACAGGTATTCACTATCAGCTGCTTCCTGACAGCTGGAGAGTCTTGGTTGCCTCAGAGGATGCTGTTTCCATGTCTGGCTTCAGGTTTCCAAATCCTGGGCTGAGCTCCCATGCCGGGCCTTAACTTTACATGCAGAATGACAAATTTCTACATTGTTTGATTTTGAATTTTATTGGAATGAAGTCAGTAAAGAAATTTTGAACTTGGGGTTGAAAATAATACATATCATTTACCTTACTCTATCATGTAAGTGCTAAAATTATTTTGTAATAAGTAATCAGAAAGTAGAAAATAGAATGTAATAATTGACCTGTCTAACTCAAGAGCTTGCTGTTAGGATCAAATGGTAGTGCCTCATCTGAATGCACTGCATAAGGATTACACAGTATACAGCTGAGAGCACCATCATTTATCAACTGCTTATTACGCATCAGGAACAACCCAAGTTCTTAAATGCATTCATTTGTGACAAGATCCTATCAAATAGATACCACTATTTACTCCATTTACTTAAAAGGAGACTGGGAGAGAGACTGGGAGAGTAGCTCAGTGGTAGAGTGGGTGCCTCTCATGTGTAAGGCCTTGGTCTGATCCTCAGTACTAATAAGTGAGTGAATGAGTGAGTGAATGAATGAGTAGAATGTACAAGATTCCAACCCTATGCTCAGTGCACAGACAAATGTCCAGAATGGCTTAGATGTAGAAGAGAAGTGAGAAAGTGCTGGGAGAGGCTGGAGAGATTGGCTAGAGAAACACCAGGCAGCCCGCATGAATTACGGCAACAAATGTAAACCTGACCTAACAGTACAGAGACTCAAAATTCCTACAAAGGATGAGAGTGGTATGGTGGGGGCTGTGATGAGCTGCACTATGTCCTCAGCACTCCTGAGCTGAGGGGTTCTAATGCACATAACTCAGAATGTGGCCACATCTGTCTATATGTGGAAACCATGTGTGCCCCTTACAGGGGCATATTATGACTGGCATCCAGATGTGAGATCTGGACACATGAGATGCCATGGAAAGAGAGGAGAAAAGCAGCCAAGACTGAGGCTCACAGATAGGACTCAGTATGGACTCGGTCATGGACCTCCAGTCTTCAGAACTGCAAGAAAATAGTTTCTGTAGTTTAAGACAATCAGCCGGGCGTGATGGCGCACACCTTTAATCCCAGCACTCAGGAGGCAGAAGCAGGCGGATCTCTGTAAGTTCAAGGCCAGCCTGATCTACATAGCGAGTTCCAGGACAGCTGGGGCTACAGGGAAACCCTGTCTCAAAAAAAAAACAAAAACGTAATCCCTAAACAAACCACAATAGCCATACAAATTCTAAGAGTCTTTAGTGGTTGGATGTGAAATGATCCCCAAAGGCTCATGTGCTGGAGGCTTAGTCCCCAGCAGGTGGCACTATTAAGGAGTGATGGTATTTGCTAAAGGTATTTGCTATCTAAACATATCTACACATAAAAGCAGCAGTGACAATACTAGGCCATGAGACTTTTCACCTCCATTATCATTATAAGGCCACCACCATATACTCACCATGTCTTCAAAGACAGTAACAGTGTGTATCACTCTGTATTTCAAAAAACATGTCATCTTACAAAGGCACACATTTATGCCATGTTGCCATTTCTGCTGAAATGAAGCAGGCTCCTTTCTCCAGCTGTCTAAGCTGGTAAACAGTCGGGGGAGACCTGATGGAGCTGCCTGCAGGCTGGGCAGGAGCTCCGGGTGTGCAGCTTTCGCTCCATGCTGGGTGAGCTTTTCAGACAACCAGCTGCTTTGATCCACCCATGCTCCTGCAAGTACCCCAACAAACTCACTGGCCAAACTAGACTTGGGGTGGAGTCATTTCTTCGCTCTGCCTCTCTTTGGTGCTTTATCTGGTGTGGAGAGAGTCTGTTCATACCTCTCAGGAAAAGTCACTCAATACACACCCTGCAATCAAGAAATGCTCTTGTATATGCCTTAGAGAACTGTTACACCTAAAAGCATATTTACTCATTAATCCTCAAAAAAACCTAGTAATTTATATAAAAATTAGAGTACTAGAAAAACACTCACTAGGATTATTAGGATCAAATTTTTTATTTAAACAAATCTCTTTTGCAAGAGAGAGAATTTTTTTCCCGCATTTTTTTCAGTATATTTAAAATAATGTAAGGCTGCAATTATTAACAAACAATATCAGAAGTGGAGAGACATGTTAACTGACCCTGAGATCATGGATAAGAGTCAACTGGTACATTTACCTTTCAGTCACCCTATCAGTGATAAACTTCAAATGAACTAGTCACCTAGCTTATAACTCACAAGACTTTAAAAGATTTTTTTAAAAATCACAGTAAATAAAACAAAAAAGAAAAATTAAAAAAAAATCAAGGTTATTCTTCCACTAATTTTACCTGAATATCCCATGTGTGGTGTCCAACTTTTTACGCCTGATCTCTGCGGATTTCCAGCAGGTAGTGGAGTTTTAGGTATTTGTGGATAATGGGTAACTCGTGCAGAAGATGAACTTGTACCAATAGGAAAACTGGATGCACCTGTGTGTATTGCATAAGCTCTGTTTCCAAATGTTGAACCTAAATTTGGAAACTTATATATTAATCTTTAATGATTAGCATTATGAAATTATATTAATTCCTAAAAACTACATCATACCTACTTTCTATAAAAGTTTAATACAACAAATAAATTTGATTATTGATCAATTATTTGTTAAGATTTCTATTTGCATATGAATCCACTACATTTTCGTACATGTATTTTACTTTGATCATACAACCTTGATTCTCCCCTCATGCCCCTCCCACTCTGACCCCTCCTCTTTCCAACCAGCCTCCTTCTACTTTCACATCTTTTCTGAGTATTGATAATTTTTCATTTATTTCTAAGACAAAGTCTCACTACGCATCTCAGGCTGGAGTTAAACTCACTATGTAGGTCAGATGCACCTCCAATTTACGATCCTCCCACCTCAGCCTCCTGAGTGCTGGGATTACAGGCATGTGCCACCATACCAGGTTTGATAAGCATGTGCTAAAATATGCTGATACACGGCTGGCTAGGGATGCAGCTCAGCTGCTGTTGGTAGAGTGCTTGTCTAGAATATATTAAGTCCTGGGTTTGATCCCCAGCACCACATAAACCAGGTGTGGTGATGCACACCTGTAATCCCACCCTTGAGAGGTGGAGGTAGGGGGATCAGAAGTTCAAGGTCATCTTCAACTACATAGTGAATCAGAGGGAGGCAGAGGGAAAGAAGGAGG